GAATTTTCCATTTCCATATCGCTTTGCAAGCAGGAAAATGTGACGAGGGCGCATCTGTTGTTGACCATTTCCGCTGCGAGTGTCAACAAGGCCTACCGAGAAAATGGAGACAAGGATGTCTTCCCGAGGGGGAGGAACCTGCGGCTTGGGCAGGATAAACGCCAGCCAGGATACCACCACGCCCACATTCCGCCACGCAAAAGCGGAAACGTTGCCCCTGGATTCCCGCCCCCTGGACTGGGTCCCCATTTCGTTACGTAACCGCCCTGCTCTCTTTGGCCGCCCCACTTTTCCTCGCTCTTTCGGAGAACCATGTTTTCTGCATCGCAGTGCGTTGAACTTGGCCCAATTCGTCGCAGCTTTGAGTGAGCGAGATTCTCATTTGAGCCACTTTTGGGGTGCTGTTGACGCGTTTTGTGGCCACCTCACTCAATGGGGTCCACCCCTTTCTCCTGCCCAGGGGAGGCGTCAAACTAAGCGCTAGCGTTAATCTTCTTTCGCGCTAATGATGATTATGGCGTTGGGGCACGTCGGGCACTGTGGTTATAAGCCGTTTTAAAGAAGTATAAAAAATTCTTAAAAATATATGCATACAAAATATAAAACGAGGTTATTTTTAAATATATCTATAATTCACAGTAAACATATGATCAAAAAACCAAACACAAATTTCGACATTTCATTTTAAAAAAAATACCAAAATTAAAAGCATTATAAGGGTAAAATATTCATTGTTAGAATGCTTAAAATTATACAAATAATCATACCACTTATATTAATTTTTCTGTATATAAAACATAACACAAAAGTAATAAATTTAACACCATAACATAAAAAATCAATATCCTCCTTGTACCACCCCATCGTTTATTCCACCGTCTGCCACCTTTTCCGGCCCGCAAGGATGACTGTGGTAAGCCGAGACACTTGGCTAATGATATCACAAACCTCAAATTCCCGCGGGGGAGTGTCGCTCATTATTTGGGTTTGGGGAAATGCGGGAAATGAAACTCAAAACTTGATTGCGCTTTTTTCCTTTGTTGTTTAAAGATCATATTTACTTCAATCACAGCACAGAATACAGAGAATATTATCTAATGGTTTATATGTCGCTCGAAAAGAAACTGGAAAGGAAACGGCGGGGAAAACTATTTCCTTGTGAGTGCGATGTGTTCTTAGAGGAAGAAGCGTGTAGGGTGTGATGTGTTTGTTTTTGTTCTTGGTGGCTTTTTGCGGGGTGGGGTGAAAGTCGAGAAGGAAAAGCTGCAGAGAAAGTCGAGCAAGTGCGGAAAAGGAGTGAAAAATTCAAAGAAGCAGTTCTCTTATCCATATAGACTTGTATAATTGTTGACATGTATGCTTAGAGGGTAACCCTTTTTTTTGTTATTTTGTGGGCTTTTTCTCGCTAGTTTAAAGTTTAACACACAACTAACATTTAGAGTATTGTTTATACGCCTCGAGGGCAATAATGCAATTACGTTTTGTATATAGGTTGATGTATGTATACTTATTACGTTGCTAGTTACAATTGTTGACTTGGTTGTAGTTCTACAGTAAGATCAGGTTGTTGAAATGTTTGTCTCGTAGTGGTACAGTAGTTTAAAGTCGAGTCACGTCGAGTCGTTCATGATTGTTGCGAGTTGCAAAGAAAGGCATTAAGAGCTAACTAAGGTGTTTCAAGGAGATGAACTTAAATTACATATTACATCTAAACATAATCTCAATGGAGGTTTAATAATTAAATAACTTTGTGCAATTAAAGCAGATTGAATGGTAAAATAATGTTTTTCTTATGAAGCAGCAGTGTTGAGCACATTTATTACTTCTCCTATGCTTTCTCCTCCTCCGGAGCGTAATCTCTTGTTCGAGTTTGCATTCGATTTTCGCTAGGAAACGCGATTGTAAAATTAAGAATTCAGCCTTCGTCCCTTTGACTAAAATGTTTCACTTCCATGATGTGGTTTTCAGCCCTTTTCAGTTTTCAGTCCGTTCAATATAGATAATCGTGCGGAAACACGGCGCGGGCGGGCAGATAGCAGGGATCGTGTTGATTGCGGTAGCGACGCGCCAGGAAAACGGCCAAGACCTGTGGTGAAAACAGTCAATTACACAGGGTTCAGCTTGGATTGAAAAATTTAAAAATAATAAGAAACTCAAGCTGCAATAACTTTAGAAGATGTCTCACCCTTGGCCACTTGTTGGATTTATGCTTAGTCAAAGAGCAGGCAGTCAAGTGTAAGTACAATGTTTTTTTGGGGGGAAGTTTTAAAGGAAGTGTGTTGAGAGTAAAAGGAAATATGTTTCTTTGCTGATTGCTTGCTTTCGGGTTCTTAAAGGGGTTAAACGCGTAGCTCTCTCCTCTTCTATATATATCTCTCTATAATATGTATATATGTCTAAAGTTGTATATCAATTACGACCTAACACATTACGTACATAGTTCTGCGGCAATGTGATTAAATATATATGTATATATGTATCTGTAGATGGTATAAATATAAAGGATGCTTGTATATATATGGTATGTGAGCCCCAAGAGCTCATGAAATCCTCCATCGCAACACCAAAACATTTAGCAGAGACAGAGCAGAGATACATGCACTAAATAACTTTTGGATGTTTCTGTATCTGGGAAATGTTTATCTTGTTCTCGCCTAGCGTGTAATTTAGAGAAAGGCGCTGGGCAAGCCGCGCGGATCCTTTTGATTGCGATAGCGAACTGTTAGCCAGACGCCAACGAACTAAGGGCAGCATGTGGGGATTAGTTTGATCATTGGATTACTTTCACCATTAAGTCCTTAACAGAATGAATCCTCACCTCAGTGAAGCTGAAGAAGATGCCCAGGCCACCGCACAGCTTGAAGGCGTAGTCGATCTTGTCCTCCAGCAGGGGTCCGCAGGGTTCGCAACGGCAGTCCGCCTCGGTGGAGTGGGCACAGCACTGCTGGTTGATCAGCTCGCACGAGGGCTCATCCGGCGGCGGCACCACGGAAGTTGTGCTCGGTCCAGTGGCGTTGAATCCGCAGCATTTCAGGCTGTCCTGCACTTGTTTGCGCATATCCGTGGGCACCGTCATCCATCCCTGCTCGGCGAACTGCTGCTGCTGCTCGGAATTGACGGCCAAACAGGAACTGGCAATGGAGAACTGGATCAGGAACAGCATGAACAAAATGATCATGTACTGCGGCGGGGAGAGTCTAAAGGTTAAGGCTGAACCAGGGCAGTGCTTTCGAAACATAATACATTTGGTTCTCCTCAATTCCACTGGGGGTCACGTAGCGATAGCCCCCAGCTGACGTCATGAAAGCACAACAGGGTAGGCACTCATAATTTCAGTCATTACGGGCCCGCTTTCTCTTCGGAAGTGGGTACTTGTCTAAGTACGCTAATTGTTCCACATGCCACGACCTTCGTGGCTGCCCACAGTGGCGGTCGGAAAAATAGGAGTGTTAGATATTGCTGAAAATTACAGTGCTGTTAAGGTATTGTCCTACAGATACAAATATATAATGGATGAAGGGTTGTTTTAAGTAGGCTTTAAGCTTGGAATTCCCTTATTTCTTGTAGGATTGAAACCCACTTTGATTCCTCTCAGATTCCTAACAAAATTGTGATCAAATTCAAAATTTACAATAGTTGGCAAGTAAATTGTAAACTATTGGATTAAATAAAAAGAAAACTCTAGGAATATATAAATAAATACCACACCAACGCATCAGAAAAGCTTTTGTTATATAAAGTAGTTAATTTCTCAGAAATTAAGCTTCTCAATCAATTTTGGAACTTTTAAATACTTGAATAAATGCCTCGCTATACTTGTAGATTCTCTTTATGTGGTATCGAATCTCTAGAGATCTGGGATTAAGATAATTGTATGTAGCTCAAAAGAGAAACTAGTAATTCGTGCAACTTGGTAAGATGCCTCCAATTGAATCTCTAGAGATCTGTGTTTTCCTAGCGTTCTGCTGCTGGTATCCTATCATCCTGAACACAGATGTGTCATTGCAACCAGCTGCATCCGTCGAGTGTTTGCGAATTTATAGGCTTTGTGGCAAAAGGATACGAAGAAGAGCATCACTTGGTGGTGCTTGACGGCTCCCGCCAGTCCCAGCATGGATATGCAGATGAGGATGACGCCGCAGGCCAGGATCCCGCCCACAATCGGCAGGTTGGTCACGATGGAGGCGGCACGCGCGTACACGCCCACTCCAATCAGCAGGAATCCAATCATCTGGGGGTCGCCACACACATAGTACACACACACAGCAGACGGCACAGAGAAACAGAGAAAGAAAGAAAAAAGGAGGCAAATGAAAAAGGACTCAAGGATTCTCGTCTCGAGAGCAGCAACAACAAATCCGTATACACACAAGCACACACATATGCATAGTATTGCACCTGCCACAGGAAAATCAATACATATTTATGGCCCGCAATAATCAGCCAATTTAATTAATAATTCCCTTTGTTGTTGCTGCCGTTTATTCATTGTTCCTCTTCCGTGTTTGTTGTTGCTGCATTTGCGTTTTTCCAATTTGTTGTTGTTTTTATAACGTTGTTTTTGCCTTACCACATACAAAATATTGAGCGCAATTAGCGCGTTCTTCGAGCAGGTGAAACCGCCGCACATGTTTGTTGTTGCTCGTTTAGTCTTGCTGGCTGCTAAATATGTCGTATTTAAACGAGTTTAGCTAATTTAATTTGAGTACTAATGGTTGGATTTGGAAATTTATTCCATCCACTTTTCACTTTCAATATAGATATCGTTATCGATTCGATGTACAGGTATCGGTTCACGGTTATCGATAAATTTTACCACGGCGTTGCCATATTGATTTAAATAATATTAATAGGTCACACTGGCCGTTTGAAATTTTTAACGGATTCTGATTCGAAAACCTAAAATTTTTACGAAATATTTATTGTTTAATGTAATGTGTAAATATTTATTTGGGTTAAATATTCTGTTCAAAATTGATTCAATATTAAATTTTACAATTCTATTTTAGAGAAAATCTCAGCGTTAAATCACTTTGAATAAGAATTAATAGAAAACCAGTGACGGCCGAGAAAACCGTATTGACCAACGAGGTGTTGAGTTCCAGGAGACCCAGGGGCTCTAGTTTCCAATCAATGGTGACGACCTGCAGCCAAAAAGCATGAACCACTTGCTTGAAACGGGCATCGGCATGCTGGAGATCAAATTGTTGCAAGAGGTCACCAGTTCTCCTGGTCTGTAATAAGAATTTCTATTTAATCATAGAGAATATAAACATTTTTTAAATTTTAAAACAAACTATACCTCCTGAAGCGTTTGATTACTAATCCGAGCCACCATGACGAGTTCCAAGAAGGGAACAGCTAGGAATACCAGAAGAATTATGGCCAGAAAAAGATCGAAGGGCTCCTCATTGATGTAGTAATCCGCAATGGCCAAGTACTGATTGTAGAATCCCATGGTGATGCCGATAAGGTTAATTAACAACGAAAGAACCATGGACCAGTCCGTAAATCTAAGGTAATTCTTCGAGCAGCCCGCAGTGACCCTATATTTCTCGGCCAATTCGTCTAAGTTATCGGCCAATTCACAGAAACGGCGCATCCGGTAATAGGGCTTTTGGAGATTCATTTGAGCAGGTGACTGCAGCATGTTGACCTCCTTGACTATGCCGTGTAACTTATTATTGACAGCGGCTATTATTATATTGGCAATTACCAGGCCTCCAAAAAAGCAGTTGTTTATTTGGTTCGATAGTATAAGGGGGAACATGGTCCTTGCAGTCGCCAAACTCGTCCACTGGTGGTCCGGCTGCACCCGCATTTGGTATAGAATCAAAGTTATATACCCGATTAGTGGGCAAATAAGGATCTTGAGAATGCTGTACATAAATGCCCGCCACACAGTCATCACCGATATGTCCAGCGAATCCAGGACCTTAAATAAAGGCACACTGTTCTGGAGTCGGATTATCTGTAATGTTTTTTCCCACTGTATTAAGTAGTTAAACAGGCATACAAAGACGTTCATATAGCAATATATGCCAATGGTGTGCCTTCTGCTAATCTGACCCGTAGAAACTTCTTTATAAATATTCCAGATGTAGTAAACTCCAAAAGTAGACGCCACAATAAAACTGTAAATGGTAACTCCTTTGGAAAAGACAAACTTTTTGCGTCTGAAGGAAAAGCGACCGAGATAGACTCCGTATAACATATTGAAAAACACGGTGAAGGAGACGCAAAACAGGACCAATTTGGTATGGAGTTTCCAACGGTGGAATCGGCGCGGGAGCAAGTGCTGCCAGGTGGAGCGAAAACGACGTGTTTGCCTTCGAAGGAACCGCATGGCACTGAACGAGGGATGAACTGGGGTACTGACAATCGCTTTGGCTAAATCACCGTTTAATTACTCAGCCTCCTTATCTGTGATTAAATAATACATTTGTTAAATGAATCAGGATCATGCATAATCTGAGGAATACCACGTACTCTTACCACGTAGTGAGAGTTTTTTATGATCAGGTTCCAAACAAGTAAGAATACAAATCTTTTGATGTATCTGTATAAGATTTCGTTACTAATCATTTTTATAATTTGATTGAGAGTATAAAGATAGGTGTTTTAATTAAATTTTAGTACTTTAAACAACCTTTTCTTTTAAATACGTTGTTTGAGGATAAACCTGAAAACTCTATTAATGGGATTTGATAAAACTGTTTCTTATAAGAATACAAACATTTTAGACTAATAACTTTTCAATACATTTTTTAAATGGCCTAAGATTTTTATAAAAACGTGGTCATATGAGCCAATTTAATTCACCTGAATACACTTAATTGAAATCTACATTCTAATTTTCCAATGGTTAATAAGTTATTTTCGCAAATTCTGATTTTTTCGAACAGGTGTCGCATAAACGGTTCATGGCTCACCGCGAACTGGTTCCAACCATCCAAGGCGAACCAGCCAGCACTGCGGCGAACCGGAACCACAGTGGTGAACGGAACCTGAACGGAACTGGAGACGCGACGCAAATGGAAAAGAAAACATAAACGCTGAAAGCTGGAAAAATGCGCTGTAAATCGCCAGCCGTTGGATTGCAAGTGCAAAAGCGCGTTGCCGAGTGTGCCCGTGAATAAATCGCGATGCAATAGGGTCGGGAAAGTGCGGAAAACAGCAGCGAAAAGCGAGCGAACCCAGTGCCAACCCCGCACCGCCCCTCCACTCGACGAGCGACGTCAGCGGGCGAAAGAGCGGGCGTGTTGTTTTTGCCATTGCTAAATAATTTCTCCGGGGCGCTCCGCTGGACAAAAAGTGATTTTTTTCCGCTGGCGTGCGCGTATAAATAAATAGCTGAAAAGAGCCAGAGAAAATCTAAGGCACAAAATCAGGCAGAGAAAATACAAATCGGTGGAAAGAAAAAATCAGAAAAAATCAGCGAATAGAAAGTGTATACCGCCTGCACTTGTGCCTGTGTGTGCCTGTGTGTGTGATGTGTGTTGGTGTGCGGGGCAGAGAACACAAGGTGCAAAATGTTTACAAAAAAATCGCATGCCGACGTGAAGAAATCCACGGCCAAATTGCAGGACTGCAAAAAGGATTCAGCCTCCAGATTGCGACACCTACGCATGATATTGGGTGAGTTCAACAGGACAGCTTCTATATCATATCTCCAGAAAAAATCCCAACTTTTTACATCATCTGTAAGCTATTTTGCAACGAACAGGCGTTTAAATCTTATCTACAATCTAGTTTTGGAGTTTTCTAAGGAAAGAGTTCGGGGAAACCCAGTAAACTATTCAAAATATACTCTTAAAAAAAATAAGTGGGTTCCTAAGTTATCTTGAGATTTTGCAAAAATAGACATATATTAAATGTAATAATCTTAAAACCATTCTGAAATATTCCGGGAAATTCAAGAAAAATATGTTTGCATATACATTATTATGTCGGAATATTTAGTGTTTTCAGTAAATTCTTCTACAAATTCCAAAACCCTATTCCACCCAAAATAAGTTATTTCAAAAACTGCTATTTTCTGAACATTTACACTTATTTTGCCCCTTGAAGCCAAGGTCCCGCGTTGGCGGTTCTGTTAGCCGTTAATTATTTCATAATGTATTTGCATTCATAGCAATAACAATGAAACTGGTTGGCTGTTTTTTATACATATACATTTTTTGGTCTGGTGGGCGTCGTTCGCACCATTTTTGTTCCACGGTGGCTCGCTCCCAATGACGTTCTGCCCACAGTTCGCATAACAACAACAAAAAGTGGATCCACAATGTTGGCCATTTCCTGTTGGGCGCGAAAGAACCTCCACACACACGATTGTACCCCACACAGGTCCCAATTCCTCCAGTAAAAACATTAATTTATGCAAAAGCGGAAAAAAGATTACAGAAAAAACCTCTACACATGCTCCGCTATGTGGCAAGCGAAAATGTGTGAAACACGTTAAGTGATAAAGAAGCAAACAAGTAGAGCCACAGGTCCACTTCCCTAAGACGGACCTTAAAATAAATCATTTTACTCAATTTTAACCTCAATCTCTTACTCATTCTTTTTAGCTTGCGTTTTTAAAAGTAACATTTAATTTGTTTTCTTTTTATTGATAAACTTATTATTTCGGATAGGATGACTAGACACAGTTTAATATTTTCTGAATGAGTCAGTTCCACAGATATTATTTACTTATTTATAAAAGTTTACTTACTTTAAAGTCTGAGTAAAAAGCAATAAAAGTTCCATGTTTGCTCATAAGTAATCATTTTATGACTTGAGTATTTGCAAATAATACACATTTCCAGACTTCTCCCGATTTCTATATTCTATGAGGCAATCGATAAGGTATGAACTTTCTCATTGTTATGGTTCTAGTATGCCAATAATAACAGAATAAAATGGTTCCTTACTTAACTTTATAAAATTATTTTGGTATTTTGGCAAATGTTCTTTAATAACACGAATTTGGGAGAATACTTTTATAGTTCGCTTTAGAGAATTTGACCTGTTTTAGCCACCAATGAACAGCAAGTACGGGTTTCGAGTACGAGCCGCCGATATGAGCCATCTCCCCACCTCCGCCACCTCTTTTCAGTGGCTTTCTTTTTGTGTCACTTCGGCGAACGACTTCCAACAGGTGCCCCCCGATATAAAAAATTACAAATACACCTGACTTGACACCCTCCGGTGCACTATTGTTGTTATTTCTTATGGTTGTTGCTGCTCTCCGCTGCCATTGTCCCTTGGCAAATTACACGCATTAGACATTCTTCCCAATGACTGCGTTCCCAATTGTTGTTTTTTAACCAGTTCGTCAGCAAAGGCACTCCAAAAAAAGTTTTCCATTTCCAAGAAAAATATTTTAAATATTCTTTGAACCACTTGTAGAAACTTATAACTAAAATCCCTACTAATATCCTAAATATATACTAATTTATTATGGGAAAATCTTTAATACTTGTGCTCTTAAAGAGATGGAATCTATAATAATAGAACATAAGATCTCTTAAAATGATATAGAAAATTGCGTGGCTTTGTTTTCTGTGCAATGATAGACATCTTCGCGTTGGCCTTCTGCTGAAACCGGTTTCAAAGGTTTCTTACTCTGCTTTATCTCTTTGTTTAGCTTTCTTCTGTTTTGCAGTGTGTTTTGCTGATGACAGCAAGCCGGCAATGGCAGTGAACCCCACCCCTAGACCCCTTCCCCAATAACCCGTCCCCCAACCCCACTGATTCATCACAAATCGCTGAGCACCCATCATAACGTGTTTTTTTCGTAACTCGACTTTTAATAGCTTTCTGGCCCCCAGTTTCGTTTGTTGTTATTGGATATCGTCATGCGTGCGTTTTCTATATAGATATAGATAGGTTGGCAGACATCGGCTGCCTGGATTGGATTTGCAGCCTTATCAATGGTGACATGCACAGGTGCCCGACTCGATGTTGCGTCACTATCTTGGTTGTTGCCCCCTGGCGCCATTTTCTTATCACTGATTCACAGAGCAATAACTATGCCTACATTTTGGTAATATTTCCGTTTAATTTGTTTCTTATCTACGATATTCCGATGTAATTAAGGTGTCACAGAAACCCCTTTTACCTTATTACAAAAGAATATCAGATGTATTTCTATATGATGGGATTTTTCATTATGACTAGGTTCGGTTTTATTCCTCAACATTTTCAGTGTAGGAATGCACTAATATTAATAGATAATACTTACCCAATATGCAATTCGTTATCTTAATTGTTGACCTATTTTCTTTTAAATTTTTCAGATAATGTGGAGCTAGAAGAGTCGAAATCACTGTTCGAGACCAACTACAGCCATGTCTACTTTATTCTGTACGACACCTTTATTCAAGCCGAGGCGAATCTGAAGCAAAAAGGTAAAAATGATGAGTTTAACCCAGATATTAATATTTATTATGAACCGAAAGCAGGGGTTTTTACACCCCTGTTAAGGTATTATTAATGTTTTCTTTGCTATTTTGTTTGCCACTCAAAAAGGTTGTATGTTCTCTAAATGAAACTTAAAATGAGCTATTTATTAAATCACTGTGGTGTTTTGTGTTAATTTTATTAACCACGTAGGTGGTAACTTTAAAGTAAAGGAAGAGTATTAAGGCTTCGTTAACTGGAATACCTGTGTTTTTTGACCCATTTAATTTTTGGTTAATTTCCTCGTATCTTTTGAGACTTAAATGCCACCAATTAAAAAAACCAACAGCGACGACATTAAATCTTTTGCCTTGTTTGGTTTTCGTTAATCTGTATGCTTTGTCCCGTTTTCGTAGAGATAGTTATTTGAAAATAAACAAGATAATCTAAATTGAACTCCTGATCTATTTCTATTTTACCCCCTTTTCTTCTCTATTTTTGTAAATCCCCTAACTGGCAGAACTTCCGTTTCACATTGGTAAGTTTATGTGGTTCCTTATTGACATCTTGAATTGACCATTGAATTGCATCCGCCTCCTTCCTACGACTTTGCTTCTGAACTCAGTTTACCATAACCTCATGCGTCCACGTCCCATGGTCTCTTTCCTTTCGCTTGAAATCTCTGAAATCTCCGAACTGCACCACATGCACATCTCTGTCTCCCTGCATCTTGTGCTTGTCCAGACATTTGGAATGCATCCCTAGAGCAAGCAGGAATATCTTATAGCCTATAGTATTTCCTTCACTGATACATATTTTATTTAATTTTGTTAAAACAGTTCACAAGGCGCATCGCGAGGAACTAGACGGCTCACTATGGCTACTGGAGAAGATCCTGTGCCTTCTGCCGGAGTTGTTGGCCCGTCGGTGGCAATGTCACTCCCTGAGTCGCATAATGGCCAAGCTGCTCCACCTAGGCAACTCGCCCAAGCTGAGACGGGAAGGTGTCAGGTTAGTGAATCCCTAAGATTCATTTTAAAAACTGCATTTACTAACTATATTTACTTTTAGATACTTCCTGCTGTGGTACCAGACGTTGGGCGAGAATGCCCCAGGCTATGTGCACGCCATGTACGCGGATCTCATCCCCGGCCTAATTGTGCCCCAGAAAGGTGTCACCGGACCGGATACGGAGTTCAGTGCCTCGGACTTTCTTACCCATCCGAACATGAAGGCGGATGGGGGCATGGCCTCCGTTTTCCACGACAATGCATTCTCGCATCCCGTGCAGAGTTCGGAGGTAGTGGCCCTACTGCCTCCTTCATCCAGCGAAAAGTCAGCGCCACCGGATCCCCGGGATGGCCTAGAGGTTCTGCTAAACAGCATGGTACAAACAGCGGCCTGTTTGCGATGGCGTGATAATCGCGCCCAGAAGGATCACCGGGCATTTGCCTTCCTGCTGCAGCGCTTTATGGATGTGTTCCTGCCCGTCTTTTCGCCCAATTTCGATACGAGCTGCTCCATCTACAATCCCCGCCTGGATCTACCCGTCATGCGATCGATCAACAAGAAGGAGGAGGTGATGGCCTCGTGTGTGGTGGTCCTGATCACCTGGGTATCACGTTTCACCCATGAACGTTTGTTAAGCCATCGCTTGGATTGCACTCTGCACATCGAGGATGTGGACCATGTGCGTTTGCAGGGCTATCAGCAGGGACGCATCGTTCGGGATGTGTTCTACGTTAGTCGAGAAAACATCAACTTTGTGCACGAGGTGTATCGTCAGGCATTTCTGCTGAACTTCACCTCCAAACCGCAAATAGAAGCAATTCGCACGGCCATCGCTGTGTACCGCGATTGGATGACGGGCGAGACTCCTCCGCCGTTCCTGCTGGAGCCCAATGACGATCCGCCCCCTCCGCCGACGGCAGGTGGAACTCCTAGGAGTCAGCGACTACGCACGCCCTCTTATGTGGGAGCCATTGCGGGCTCCAAGGATCAATTGGCGGTCAGAGCTGGGCGGCAAAATGTATTACAGGTAAATTTACAAACCTTTAGCTCGATTTTCCCTTACTGATTTTTGCTATTTTCCCAGGTGTTTGTGACCAATGCGGCGAATGTGTTCCTGGTGAACACCGCCAACCTGAACATCTGCTTCCCCACCCGCTCGCGAACTTATCGCTCCACTCCACTAGAAGAGCAGACGGAGATCTGCAAGAAGGTGCTGAATGTGTACCGCACCATGGTGATGAACACGGAGATGGATTCGCGCACCTGGGAGCAACTGCTGATGGTGTTGTTGCAGGTCACCTCAGTGGTGCTGCACCAGAACCACCATACATTGCCAAGTGGTACCCCTAAGAGTGCCACTTTGGGCGGAATCCTAGGGTCGGCTATATTCCAGACTCTGATTGTCACATGGATACGAGCGCACACCAAGGTGCCCGTCAACGTGCAGTTGTGGGAGAAATTCCTAAATGTCCTGCAATCCTTGACGCACCGCGAGGAGCTCATCGTTGAATGGAACAAGACCATTCAAACTCTGACTCGTGTCTTTTCGCGATACACATACTGCATAAACTTGCTAGATCTTCCCCTGGATCGAGTGGCGGAGAGTCGGGCGGAAAAACGTCGTCGCATCGGCAGCGTCTGGCAGGCATCGGGATCGGGCAGCGCTGCCAATGGAGGCAGTGCCGCTTCTGCTGCCATTAGCCAAAGCCGACAGCGGGAGTCCCTAGCGGAATCGGGTAGCAGTCGCTCGGAGGAAACCTCGTCGCAGATGCCACTTGCAAATCATCCACGACCTCACCACCAGCACACGCAATCCCAAGGAGGCACCGGCACACGACCAGTTCCCTTGACTCCCATGCTAAGTAGGAGCTACAGTGAAGGTAGCTTAGCTTCAGCGGCCAGGAGCTCTAGAATTCGACGCCGTCGGGCTGCCACTCCGAAACCAAAGGTGCTCCAACCACCACAGACGGGAGAGAATCGCTCTAACCCACAGGATCTGAGGAGAGCTATGTCCCTGGACTCACTGGCTAGGAAGGGTGATGCAGAGGAGACGGACAGCTACCAGGAAGGTGACAACGAAAGTGGAGCGGGTTCCAGAAGTCCCTCACCCACAGCCAGCAGTGGAATTGAAGGTGGATCCATCAAAGATGCACAGCTGCAGATAGATGCCAGCCTGGACGATGCCAATTCTGGGAGCTACGGGAGTGGCAGCAACTCTGGAAGTGTTTCCGGACGTCGCTGCATTATCTTAGGAGGCTCAGCGGAGGGTTGGCATCCAGATTCCACCTCCATCATGTGGAAGCGCATGCTTGGTGCCTTGGGAGACGTTAATCGTATCCCAAAAGCGGATCTGCACGCCCAGGTGTTTATGCATTTGCTGGAGATGACGCAAAACCTCATCAAGATCAAGCAGAACCAAGGGATATCCTCGGATAATCAGAGCACTCCACCGATGCCGACTTTGGTGCCACCCATTGGAATTGTGGCGCCCTGGTGTTATGGATCTCTTTCGCTAGATCGATCCTTTAAGAATGGCAAACTATGGGCCCTTCAATTGCTCTGCTCGCTCGCGATTCATGGAGCTGTGGGCATGCAGCAGCTTCCCTTGTTTTACCATGCTCTTCATCAGCTGTTGACTGGTGAAGATCGGGACTTGATTTATGCGATTCTCAAACACTTGGAAGGACCCAGGTTGCTGAGCTTGCTTTTGCCAGGACACACTTTGCTGCTGCTGGACTTGGTTCATGCGAGTGCTATATTGCTGACTTCACTGGAGGTTTCAAGGAGCACGCCGAGAGCCGAGGTGGCGGCTCTCCTGGGTTCGCTGCTCTGCTATCCGTCCTCCTTGCTGCCACGCCCTGTTCTGCAGCCCTCGCCACAGAAGTTTGAGCTTATGGAGTGTCCGGATTTGCAGGATCACATCCTAAACATTGTCCTCAGATGCGCCAGGCGGGAACCTTCGGCCAAGGCGCGATGCATTGCCCTCTCACAACTGGGTCAGTGGCTGCTTATGCGTCTTTCTCAACCCTTGCCGGTGTCCTCGACGACCGGAAGGGGAAATCTCTTTCAGCAGGCAGTGCCCCATCACAAAGATGTGCATCCCAAGGAGGCGACAGTCTACAATCCGCGCATCAAGGAGGTGCTCCAAGTACTGCTCCAGGCGCTACAGTTTAAGCATCACACTATCGCCATGGTTGCAGTTGATTCATTGAAGTTGTGTGCCGAACGTGGACGCCAACTGGCCGCCATTGAAAGGGTTCCCCAGCTAATCATCACAGCCATCTGCAAGGCTTTGGAAATCCAAAACGTAACCAAGCCCAAGGATTCGGACAAGGTGGTTCTTACATCGCTGATGCTGTGCTTGGGTGAATTCTGCATGGCTATTCCTGCTCCAATTATGCTGACGCCCTTCAACGAACAGGGTGATACTCTAGTGCTCCAGGTACTCAGGGTACTCCTGCAAGTTGCCTCGGGAGCTCCACGCCATGAAAGAGTAAAACTGACCGCCGACGATGATTTCGATATGCACATTACCCACGACGATCTCCAAGGAGATGGACGCCTTCCGGAAGCTACCTATCAAACATCCGAGACCATTCAGAAATGCATCACAGCCATCAAGTTGTGTGCCAAGGCGGTGTCCATGCATCTGGTCACCCACGTCGGTCACTTTCCCATGGGGATCGGAGCATCTCGCTTGAGTTCCATGGTTGAGGAGCAGGATGACATTGGTAATGCTGCCTATGGTGGTCAGGTGGAGTCGCGACGCGACTCTGTGGAACTTCCTTCTGCTGTAAATGCCCAGAACATGCAGCTGTTCATGTTAAACTCCGGTCTGGTGGCCAGTTTCATTGAGCTGCCCACGCTGAAACTCCCTGGTGGAGGAATCACGGCTGGTTTGGTCACAGCCGAGAAGCAAGTTAGGGTCCTGATGCGGGATCTCAATGGCAAAGCTTGTTGGGATGCCTCCATATTGTATTCGGAACCGCGGAAGGCGGAGGAGCCTCCTGCGAAAACCACACCAAAGATTCACCACACCCAACCGTTAGATTCCATGGTGTCTTCCATGGTGGCGCATGAGCTGCAGGCACCACGACACACTCTGCGTCACCGTCCGGCGGGAGTGCTGCCGCTGGCCAAGGACATGGCCCCGGATCTGGATCAACTGGACGATATGTTGGCCTATATTGGTCATACCAGTCCAGAGTGTGTGCCCCCCACTGTAAGCCAGTTGAATGCTCCAAGCAGCAGTCCCCTGAGTGGAAATCAGGAGGCGCAGGCGATTTCAGTGATCCTGAATCAACGCCTCTTGGAGCAGGAATTCGTAACACACTCGGCGCTTGCTCCATCCCCGGCTTTGCGTCACGCCAGCTCAAACTCATCGCTGCAACAGCCGGATCAGAGGTCCCTGCACTCCGCTACGCCTTCCTTTGATTCTCTGCCCACCCGCACTGAGATGCCGTTCCAGTATTGCCGACTGCTCTTCTCACATTTGGGTCTAGCTGGCTGGGAGCGACGCTCCAGGACGCACTTGCTCCAGCGGAGCGAGAAACTCATGCGAGAGTTGCGAAACGTGGATCTTCAGAAATGCCGGGAAACCCATAAGATGGCGGTGATTTATGTAGCCGCCGGCCAGGAAGATAAAGGAAGTATTCTTAGGAATACGAGTGGAAGCAGCACCTACGAGATGTTTGTTTCCGCTTTGGGTTGGGAGATCGACCTGGAGACGCACAATGGTTTCCTGGGTGGATTACCCCGTCAAGGATGCGGGGCAACAGCTCCGTATTACGCCACACCCTTTCTTGAGGTAGTCTACCATGTGGCCACCAGAATGCCGTCGGACTCCTCGGAGGCCATGCTACTGAAGACGCGACATCTTGGCAACGACGAGGTCCACATTGTGTGGAGCGAGCACCATCGGGATTACAGACGGGACATTCTGCCCACCGAGTTTTGCGATGTGCTGATTGTGGTTTATCCGCTGAAGAATGGTTTGTTCCGAGTGACTGTCAACCGGAAGCCGGAGGTTCCATGGTTTGGACCATTGGCCAATGAGAGCGTGGTAAGCGGCGCCTGCTTGGCCACCTTGATCCGCGCCACTGCCATCAATGCCAGTCGGACGAAGCGCGCCGCCTTGCCGCTCTACCAACAATTGTAAGTTGAACTGAAATATATATATTTTCTTTAGATACTTATGAGTTTTCTATTATCATACGCAGCTACGAGGAGCGCAACAGGTCGTTGGATAGCGTATCTTCGCGATACAAGGAGAGTACCACTTTTGAGGACTTCGCCAGCCGCATCTTCAATCCCATGCCGCTGTCCACGTTGGGCACTTTACGGGAATCCAATGCCAGCAGTTCGGCAGCACCTCTTGCTTCGGCTTTGCTCGATCACAATCGTGCTTCCGTGAAAGGTGAGCAGCTAGATTTTGGGAATCAGTAAGCGAATATTAAAACTGAAATTTTATTTACAGGTTGGGTTCAAGCTTCGATTGACTCTGGCCCCATAATAGGAATAGCGCCATCGGCCTCTGCTGGATCCACCGCAGCCATGGAGGCAGCCACCGGAATGGCCTCTGCCTCGCCGCGTGGCCCCCGAAAACTGGGAGCTCCTTTCAAGAGCGTGACCAAGAAGCACTCGCTGCAGCAGATTGTCGTCGGAGGCGGCGGAGGAGCAGGTGGTGACACGCCGCCCGAGAGTCCAACCTTGCCGCAGCGACGCTTCAAATAATACTTGTCCCTTTCCTGCGATTCCCGGCACCATCTGCACCCATTCCCCTCCCCACCAATCGGGCCGAGGGCCAAGCCAGGCCCGAAAAGATGCAGAGAGTTCTAATGCAAACGAATAGTATTGCGAAACACGTTTCCTCCTACATTAGTTATTGTAATTTATTTCATTTTCCAGCTTAGTCTATCAGTGTATTTACATATTTATTTCCTGCTACTCTGCTAATCGAACGCTACTCTCTAACGATTTCCCTTCCATTTTTCACTTTCAAGTTAACACTGTGTTGTAATACTTTGCGAATTTTACCTAGTTACAATGATGCATCGTCTGCGATGCGGCTGTATTTTGCGTCCAATCAAACTCACTAATTTGAAATTATGTTATCTATGCACTCAATTATGTTAATTAATTTGATGTAATGTAAGATTATTTAGTTAATGAGCTTTAAGCATTCGAGTGCAAATTGATGATTATCAGCTAGCTGAACAATTGCTTTTTTCGCATTTACTGTGCTGCGCTTTTTATCCAAAGCAATCTGTTATTCAATATTATAGATATTATTTTTACATTTTTATGTCACATTTTACGCTTGGCAACGAGAAGCAAATTCAAAGAATTCGAGAATCGTTTTAAGTGTCCCGCACAAAATGCAAGAATAATCAAAATTCGAACATAGGAACTTGCTCTGCCCATTTAAAGCAACACGTCAACTACTAGTATTATGTAATCGACCTATTTGTATAGGTAGCCTAGTTATAAGCATTCTCTACTAACCAATCCCCTATCAACTGTCGATGGCAATCGTCACTAGGAGTGTGAGTCTTAGAAAGGAAAACAAAACAACAGAGTAACTAAAATTGTTCAAACAATCGCCTTTTATTTGTGTGTAAAAATGAAATTGTTACAAGATGATTTATTAATCAGCATAAGGATGTTCTTCATTTGTATTTCACTGCGAATTGTTTCAACGAATTGATCAAATTGATAGATTTATATTTATATATATTTACACCGAGATATGTTAATTTTGTATTTATGTAAAACGGGCAACTGAAAGTTAATTGCAATGCCTTTTTGTTGCACAAATGTTTTATGAAATTTGTAGTCTAATTAACACAATTAACCGTAAGCGAGTAAACATTTTTGTATAAAAAAAAATCAAACAAAAACCAATAAATCGAAAAGCAAATTAGTGCTATGTGAAATTTGTAACTAACACCAAGTAACGGATTATATACAACCTAAATTTACAACTACGATTTAATATGTATATTAATTTATTAATTTATTTGAGAAACAATCGAGTATTTTTCGTATAATAAATAACGTGAATTTCAAAGAGTTGAGATCCTGCTGTGAGGGAGAAGTTCTCTTTCCCGTGGGCCAGATGTTGTCAACATTTAGTAGTAATTAACTGGGCACGCAACCGCTCTACTGACACTCATTCCGCGCCTCCCAGGTGGCCCAGACTTATAGGCCGGGCCGTGAGAGGTCATTGCCTTGACTCCTGTTTTCGGCGGTTTCTCTTTTTAGGGGTGATTCGACCTCCGCCCACCCCCAGAAATGGTCAGACAGACAGGCAGGTCGGCTGGCTGCCAGGGATCAGTGATGGCAAAGGTCTAGGGATTTTTACTAGGTACATGGTCTAAAAGTTGGGTACCGTATTTTTTTAAAATAAAATTAATTTATATGATTTTGTAATTTATAATTTACCTGATTTTAAATATTTGATTTGATTGGAGTACAAAATATTAATGATATAGGGCTTTTACTTGTGTATCCATATATTGAGTACTTTTTCGTCAACATTTCTGCTTATAGTACGAAGAGTTAAAAAATAAAATTTATAACTTTGTAAGTTTAGAATCCAAGGTTGTTTATTTTATTATAATAATTTTTGATAATTTCTGATTAGGTATTCCTGTTATCTACCCAAAGACGTTGGTGCTTAGCCACCTCTGCTGGGGATCTAGTAACGCTCTATGCTGTTTGAATAGTGGTGCTGTAACCACCACTACGAAGTGACGCCATTCAATTTGAATTTTCCCCGGAGCAGCGGCAAATACCCCTAATGGCCTATAGCCGCTTGGCGTGCGCACAGTTCTCGTCGAGCGGTCGTGTCGTCTGAACGTCTCCAGTCGTAGCTCTTCTTTCGGGTCGTATATGTACCAAGCTCCACTGCCAAGTTCCAAAACTAAGCAACTTAAGCCCAAAAATGCGCACTCAAGTACTAGGGTTTTGTTTAACAGTTTTGCTAATTGTTTGTCTGTTGTAAACAAAAGACGTAATTAGATGCGGGTGCCAAGTGCCAAGTGGGATCAGAGATGGGGAGTCGTCCGCAGCGGATTCGGCGGATTGGCGACAGCCTGCAGATGCTAACCCGGGAAGCCAGGAGCGAAGTGGTGCGCTGTGAACGTAAGTGGTACTATCCAAAAATGTGATGAGCCACCTGAGATAAAATAGATAGATCGTTAATGTAATTAATAAATATATTTTAAAATATTTTTGTAATACACTATCAAGTTCCAACTTTATTTTCATTATTGTCTAACAGCCTTTTCTTTCGAATATGATTGATAACCCATCATAACTCACCTGGACCTTGTCTGTAATAAATACATGTATGTCTCATTATCTACTGGGGATTTGCATAAGAGGGCGACGTCATCGCCAATTTCAACATTGGAGCAAGGAAAGATTTGGTGTTTATCTATAGGTGACGGAGACCTTATTATGACATGTGTGGAAATGTGGAAATGGATTCAATGGAATTCGTTAGGGCTGGACATGTTTATCGTCTGCCACAAGCATACAAACCACGGGAAATAGTTATGGTTGTTTTTATTGGGTGAAACACATGGTCTATAAATAAGTTTCTTGGGCGGTAGTTGTCTAATTACGATTAGCCAAGATTTTTATGGCGTTTTATTTATGGTTTTGTAAATTAGCTTAAGACAAGATTAGATAGGCAGAGTAATCTTATCATTTACAGATATAGATATATTGAACTACTCATAATAAAGTTATTAGGTTACCAGAGAATTTCCTTACAAAAGTTATAAAATATGAACTGTAACTATAGTATTTTAATGTGCCCATGAGAAATTATTGAAAAGCTTTTCAAAAACACCTTTGAGACATCAATAGCTCCCAAGTGACGAGCGTTATTGTTAGATGGAGTTTCACTTTCGGCTTGAGAAACCAGAAAAAACTAGATGCCTGCCAGGCACGCGATTTGAAACATACCCACATCGACGAGTCCTTCGAAGGCCTTTTGGCCACTAATTAAGTTCACCTTGGACGTGAAAAAGCGGCGGGTTCTTCCAAGGTCATCGCCGATAATTGCGGCCATGGCAACTGCCCAAAAGCCGAAACAATGGCATGGAAATAAAACAGGATTTTTTCGGTCTTTGAATATCAGATTAATGTTCGTCTCTAACTGAGGATACGCAATAATGGAAGACCTAAATGGGGCGGTTCTTTTGTTTGTTAATGAAAGGAATATAAATAAACATGAAAGGAATATGGAATTCGTTAAAGAACGGGTAGAATTTAGGGGAGTATGGAACCTAAAAAATATTGAGGAGTAGGGCGAAAAAATGTATATAAATACATGACATGTTTTATGACCGTCTACGACTTCGATTTGAAATTATAATTTTATGATAATTATTATATTGAGTGCGTAGAATCTTTTCTTTAATTAATCCCATTCCAAATTCCGGTACTACTACGTTTTAATTATATTTTAAAACCCCATGTCGCAGCAAACAAAAAATAAAAATAAAACAATGATTTCCCATCCCACGCACATTATAATGCCCCAGCACACCTCTATCTATATCTACAAAAAAATATTGTGAAAACAAGAAAACCACTCAACAATGCGAAAGAACCAGATCAAAACAGAGGCACAAACAAAAACATACCTGGGCAACCAGTTGCAAATTTTAGAAATCAAAACAAACCCGAAGAAGCTCGCTCTTAGGAGCCCCCAAACAAAAAATAAATAAAACAAAGTGGTCTAGAGCTATATAGCTCTCTATAGAGCGAATGAGAGCGAGAGAAAGACAAAATCGGCTGGAGAATTATGGGTTGGCATATAGTCGCCTCAGTGTCTAAACAACAGTCACGAACGACGGACGGTCTACGAACGAGTAGTACGCAAAAATTTGGACCCATTCGGTTTTATACATATCTTTTGGATGCGTGCCGAGCGTCGCGTGGTTTAATTTCGGGTTCGGCAATTAACATATCCATCGCTTTTTATGCAAATCGGTGATATCGAAAGAGTGTAAATAACAAACATAAATGTCGAATCGAAAAAGTTGCCCCCTCCCCACAATTTATGACCTTGAACCCGTCCGCCCAGACGGATGTCACTTTTCCCAAACCGAAACACACTCCGAACGATTTTGAGCCAAGGGTTAATTAGAATATATATTCGAGAACGAGCACAAAAAGGTGTTAATTTCGGTTGGTTACGTATACGTAATGGGACGGGAAAATAGAAATGGAAATTGAAAACCCGAACAACTGTTGTGCGCGCCAAATGTAAATTGATAGCCAAAGTGTTTCAAACTCATTTGCTAAATTTCCCTGTCTACCTTCCATATTTAAACACCCATGTACACCCACACACTTTCGGCAATTTCAAATCAATTAATCTCAATTATTCCGATCGCTCAAATGAACAGAATCGAGGCGAAAATCAAAAAGTCTCCGCGCTTCATTAAGTTTGCCCAAAAGCAGCAGCTATATTTATTATAGCAATTGATTATTACTTTCCTAATAAATTTCTGTGTGTAGATACCTCGGTTCGCAAAATGAAATATTCCGTATATGGTCCATAAAAATCACAAAAGCTATACAAATGTGGAGTGAAAACGATAAAACCGAGCACATGGATAAGAATGTTTTAAAAAAACGTGTGCGCTAATTATGACAAAATTTCAAATAACATTTCTGACGCAAAAATTCCTAACAGTTCCTAAAACTTTTATCAAGAAAGTTTACAAAAATCCTATAAAAACCGGATGCGCATGGCACGAAATATTACATTGTTTTCTTTATAAATGTTTGTGCGTTTTGTTATTTTCATTAGCTAGCCACATAAAACTAACCAAATGTGAAGAAAAAAACTATCAATAGCCATTTTGTAGATAAGAAAAACAATAATTGTGTACAAAATATGTGCGATAAATTTGTTTAATTGAAAAAAGGAAACATAGTAATCCAGAGAAATTCTGAACAACGACAAAAATAACATGCCAAAATGGAGCTGATTAAGAAATACAAAGAAGGGAAGCTAACCACCAGCGATATTCGCAATCTAAATAGTACGTTATTATATATTGTTATATATGTTTATGTTTTTTACGTATTACTAAGGGCAGACCTTGGAACTTAAAATTTATTTTTGGGATGGCCTTGAGAGGGCGGAGGAAGGAAAACAACAAAATAAAAACAAACCCCACAACAAATTCCATTAAAAGCATTAAGAATTTCGAATGTCAAACTGTGAGAGCCAATTGGTTAAATTTGAGGTGAACTGTCTGCAGCTATTGACAGAAAATGTTCAAGTCAATTAAAACCATTTCACGGGTTTGTCCATCAGTCATGGAGACTGATCTTTGGGGGCGCGTCTTTCAGCATCAATAAACCGTTTGACTATACGTATTCCAATGTTTTGAAAATTTGCAGAGACAGGGACCCACCCAATAATTTATTCGAAATGCGTGACAGTGGAGCAATACCCTAAATTTCCTTGAAGTATATATTTTTGGGTTCTTTGTTTTATGTTTAACAGAAGTACAATATTCTAAATATTTTTCTATTAACCAGATTTAATTATAAGTGTAGTCTCACCATTTTCAACTCCCAGCTAATCGTTCCAAATTTAAACCTTTTTTATAGCGTCAATCGACTCATTAAAGGTGCTAAATTGGCCTAAAGCCTTTAGTCCAATGTGCTAATATTAACTGTTTACAAACATTTTCACACCTCCCTTGCTGTTTCTACCGATCATCATGGTAAAAATGTATATAAATATATTCCATTTGATGCAGTTTTCATCTGTCGATAAGTGGAGGAAAGTTTGTTTGAGTGGGCGTAGTTCATAATACGTATACGCCATGTGGTTCCTGTTAATGGCATTAACAAATTGGCCAAAGTACCAGGCTTCCGGGAGCCGTCGCAAATATAAACAAGCACTTAATCAGA